ACAGCCCATCACGGTGCCTCCAAAGCAGTCTAGATATGCGTGGGGATGGCTGTGTCTAACCTGTTAGATGCAGAGATGAATGCAACCCACCTGTGTGATCAGGGGTAGAACTGTCTCAGTGGCCATCATCTTCCCCAAGTTTAGAACACCACATTGGTTGAGAAGCCCTCCTGAGAATGGACAAGATACTGAAGGTTAGTGGCACAGGCAGCAGAAATCTGATGTGTGGGATCGGTTCGGTCACTCACTTGTTTGAGACTCTTTAGTCTGTCCTCAGCTGAAGCTGAGGCATGGACTGTAAGTCCTCCAAAGTGGGATCTGATGGGGAGGCAGGTTGACCAGGCATGTTTCAAACAGAAGAACCTCTCTTCAGCTTCCCCAATTAACAATGACAAGGCTACCTTTCACACCTTTGCCAAACTTGACCTTCAGACCTGGTAGGCCTTTTAAGTAGGCCTGGAAGGGTTAGGAGAACAAAGGACACGAAGTCACGATAATCCGTTGGCCTTGTGGCGAACCAGTAACTCCGGTCCCCCGGCTGGATGCTGACAGGACCATCCTTCCCCGAAACTGGGGTCTGGACCACGAAGCCTCCAAGATGGGATCTGATACTGAAAAAAAGGTTAGCTGGGTGTGTTTCATTCTCATCAAAGAAACAGAGACCCAGAAAACCTCTCTTCCAGTACCACCAATGAACACTGACAAGACTACCTCGGATACTTCCCCAACTTGACCTTCAGACCAGGCAGGCCTGTAGAATGCAGGGTTTCACACTGGATGTTAGTCAAAAGTGCTCAAGCAAGCCATTAGTTGAATGTATAACTGACAGCCATCCCTTCACATGCCCCAGTACAGCAGACTTCGAGGGCATGATTCTGAAGTTTGCAACACAAACAGAGAGCAGTAATGCTGCAGAGACTGGCCATGGGACTTGCCACCATCTTGGGTAACCACAGAAAGGCAGAGATGCCCCAAACCAAAGCAGATTCCTCCCATGGATATAGCATAGAAGTGTGCTAGGCCAGCTGACCTGTGACTTGTGTCAGATATAAATTGCACACACTCTGGTCAGATGACAACATGATCCTTATCTTGAACTTGGTTGGACCTTTACCAAGGCAGGACTCCAAGTAAAAAGACAGCATTGAAATCTCATCCAACAACACCATATCAGGCAAATGTTGCAAATGAGGATGCTGTCTCCAAGTCTAGCAAAGTACAGTGGGTTTATTGTCTCTGTTCCCAAAAGTTGACAACTCTTTCAGGAAGTTCTCCAAGGGAAGGATAGATACTGAGGGTTAGTGGACCAGGTCACAAACGGCACAAATACAGCGTGTGCTCTCTGGTCAACCACCTCACGTACCCACACATGGGTCCCATGCTGATGCCACTTTCCTCGTCTGCAAGTCACCCCTGCCCACGAAGCTGCCAAGCCAGAGAAGTTTGCGGAGAAAGAGGCTGCCACGCAAGAGTTATAGTCAGACACAAGAAAAGACAAACCCGCTGGGTTGCACTAGCACAGACTTAGTGTCCCCACCCCACAGCTGGTGTTAGCTTCAGGAAAGCTCGCAAGGCGGGATTAGATACCGCAAAGAGGTCGACCGTGTAATGTGCGCCATAAATAAAGCGAACGCGCCACGGACCACCTCTCTCCAAGTACCAAGCAGCAGCAGTACGGACACCGGGACACTGGCTCTTCCTCAAAGCAGATGTCACCTCCTGGAAGTCTTCCAAGGCGAGATGTGATATTGAGAAGAAGTAGACCATGTGTCCTACGTCACAAATAAAGCATACACACCATGGTCAACCACATCTTCAAATACCATGAGGTAACACTGACCCAGTTCTCTTTTCTTAATTTGGTGTTACCTCCAAGAAGCCCTCACAATGTGTGTCACAAATTGCCGGCAATTGGCATGTGGGGCAATGACCACAAACTCATATTTAATGCCACTGTGACTTCCAGGATGCCTCGTAAGGCTGGGATTGAATGCCAAATATTGGTTATGGATCAAATGGCCAGGGTCAGAGATAATGAACATGGCCTGAAGCCAAGCACTGGGTGATTTGTGCTGGATAGCTCCTACTGCCCAAGCCCTACTCTCAAGTTGGTGTGGTTTCTAGAAAGCCCCTGGAGGCTGGCTGAGGCTGAGATGTGGTGGACCATGCTGCACGCTCAATAAGCACTTGACAGTCTACCGTCTTCCCAAGTACCGTGCTGAAGCCAGACCAGGACATCTCCCATGAAGTTTCTTGGCCTTTAGGAAGCCCTCCACGACTGACTTTGATATTGAGAAGATGTGGACCATACTACATACGACACAGAGGTAGCGCATGTTTTATGGTCAACCATCTTTTCAGGTACCATGGAGAGAGGGTGGCGTTGGAACTGGTGTCTTTTCCTCTCATGGGTATCACTTCCAGGAAGCCCTCTGAGGAGAGATGCCGTGTTGAGAAGAGACCACCATGCATTGCTTGCTGCAGATGCAGTGAATACAGCAGAGAAGAGGCTGCAAGGACCTGAAGGGAAGAGCCTGCACCTAGTGCTATGCCTTCTAGGAAATACAGCCCCCCTAAGAAGCCCCCAAGGTGCATTTGCGGTTATGGAAAGGTGGACCAAATAGCATGCATTGTAAGGAAAGCAAGAAGCATGGTCAACATGTGTCCTGCTGCCTTGTCCCCTGAGGCTAGTGTGACCTCACTGGAGACTTTCAAGACTGAAGCTGATATTGGAAAAAAGGGTAAGCCATGTTACACGCTGTTAATAACACACATGCAGTTTGGCTGAGCGCTCTTCAGGTACCATGAGGTCATCGCTGATGCAAGAACCAATGCCCTGTCTCTGAGGCTAGCAGCATCTTCAGCAAGGCTGAGTTGGAGGTAAGGAGAAGTAGGCCAAGAAGTAAGTTTGATCTGTAAACCCACATGGTGGGGCCACTAGGGTATTCATGGAGGAGCCCAGTTGAATCGTCTTCCTCCAGATGGCTAGATGTAATATGGAAAAAATATACTGTACACGAAGCATCAGTGGAAAAAAAAATGAGTGTGTCTTCATGTACCTGGCTTGGCACTGTATCATGAACACCTAACTGCTCATCCATGGCCATAATGTCTTGAAGGTGTCTGAGGACAGCTTTGAAGAATGATGAAAATGTGCAGCATCCCTTGTTCATGAGCATTTGTGGAAGCAATTACCACTTCTTCCAGTCCTGTGGAGGGAGGGAGCATGCCCACAAGGGATGTGGGATGCCTTCCAGGAGGTTGTTGTCATCCTGAAGAAGCTTAAAAGCTTCACTGAAGCTGAGAGCAACACTGTGTCACAAAAACTAACAGGAAAAAACACAAAACGTGGAGATGTTTGGCCACACAGCCCGATGTAGGGAGCAAGCCACTTCTTCTCTCTCTCACTTCAGGTTCTCTCCAGGATGGGATGGACTAGATGGCAGGGCTGGTACCAAGAAGCTGTTTATCGTCCCACGTACACACTCAAAAATGTATGTGGGACAGTAAACCATTTCTTCAAGTACCGCATGATAGCAGGACAGCTGTAAGAAGGCTCGCGTCTGCCAGGTTGCCTCAGGACACCTCTTCAGGGCTGGTGTTGAGAAGCAGATCATGGAGTCTACTAACCAAGAGTTGCCTAGACAACAATGTCACTGAGGTCATGAATAGCACTGATCCCAGAAAGCATATGGTCTCCTCCCCAGAGGTGGCAAGAGTTCCCAAGGCAGAGCTTGACAGAGGAAGAGGGAGATTGTGTAATTTCCCATCATGCAGCAAAGAAAACATGCCAGATGAAAACCATCTCTTCCAGTGTCATGGAGAAGCCCCGATGATGAGTCTAGTGGCGTCTCCCCGAAGACAGCGTCCTCTCCAGGAGCCTCGGGGATGGATTTGATACTGAGGGTTAGTGGACCGTGTTACATACGTCACAGATAAAGCGTACGCTATACGGTCTACTATCTCTCCAAGTACCACACAGAGACGCCGAGGACAAAGGCTGAGGGCACGTCCAGAGGGCCCTCAGGGCCATTGAGCTGGTGGAAAGTCGAGTCTGGTTGGGCACAATGCATGCATCATGCGGCAGGCACACACAAGCCAGGGGGTCTCATCTTCATGTCAGGATTCACACCAGCAATTCGTTCCCGGAATGAACAACTCTTCCAAAAGCCCACAGAGTCTGCAGACAAATGCTGCTGTGGGCCTTATTGCTGCTCAAATGCCCACTGAGTGCTGTGAGGATGGGGAGTAGGGGCATGCATGGCAGGAAGCTAATGTGGGTGTGGGGAGGGTGCAAAATTAGGAAAGCCAAATGGCCTATAAGCAACCAAAAAGATGACTAGCCTAGTTAGAGCAGGCCAAGCAAATGTATCCAGGCTTTTGAGGCCCTGTCCTATCTCCTTGTGAAACCCATTTGTAACCATAAGAAAAAGATGCCACCAGGAAAGGAAAATGGCACATCCGTTCCCATAAAACGCAGTTCCAGGAGTTCCTCGAGGTTTAGTGGGGAGAAAGTATTATTTGGGTCAACAACCTCCCTAAACTCAAAATCACGCTTCATCCCATACGTCATACTGCCACTACAAACTCCAGTGAGACTGGATTTAACCCGAGAAGAGTTTTGCACATCAGTGCAAAATGGCAGCTTTACCAGGAGCAGGGAGCATCTTTGCAATGCTCAGAGCAGGTAGGTAGGTTCTGATAAACAGGTAGGTTCCCCCTTGGGGGAGAACTGACTCCACGAAGCCTCCAGAGCTAGCTAGCTGGGAGATGTCACACAGACATCTCGTGCATCTGTCACATGGAAAACCATGTCTTAGGATACTATGACTAAAGGTACCAAAAGTCCCCCAGAGGGCTCACTTAGTGCCCGGAAGACGTTCATCTTGCTGCAGGTCAGAGATCAGCCATACAACAGAAATCACAAGGAGCGGTGTGAGGATGAATCGATTCTCTTCCTCGCGGTTGGTAACACCTCCGGGGTGCCCTCCGAGGATGGATTGGATACTGAGAGTTAGTGGACCATGTTACATAGGTCAAAAACATAACGCCTACGTTCCATAGTCTACCATCTCTTCAGGAACCATGGAATGGTGTTGACCCCTAGAAACCTGGGCCTTGTCCCTGAAGCTGGCGTCACTTCCAGAGAGCTTTTCTGAGGCCTGATTTAGCAGTGGGAAGCAGGTGTGGTGAACAACACACTGTCCTTGAATGGTCGAGCAGTGCTGAAGGAGAGGCGTCATCTCTCCTCTGAGGTAGCGCATCCCATGAAGGCCATGCCAACTTGGAAAGGTGAACTGCTGTGCTAACCATGTTCTCAACTTTATGGGCTTAGCCTTTGCTCAAACAAGGGACAATGGTCAGTTCATCTTGACCAAAAGGGACACCATAACGGCACAGATTGTCGTGTGAAAGACTTCTCTAGGTAGTACCCACCGGGCCCTACCCACACTGTGGTCATCCTTGCCATGCACCATCAATGTAGACACAAATTCAGGGCCCAGAGGGCCAGTACCTCGTCAGCTTCTAGTAAGAGCCTTCCCCTCTGATGGCGCCTCTGTCTATACAGCACTACCACATAAGAGACGGCCAAGGCAGCTTCCTGTGCTTGCCTGCAGAAGAATATGACCATCCGTCCAGGTCTTGGAGGCCAGTGTCCCCTGGGCCACAGCCCTGCATGCCTGATCTAAATGCTCAAGTCTTTAGGATGGTACTCAGGGCTGCAGTTTCTCCCCTGCTCCCAAGTGGGTGAGACAATTTTCCCTGTCATGTGGTCCTTCACTCAGTCCACTTCTCCACGCTGGCCAGAGTATCATTGCTTATATCACTGTCAAAGCCAGCACCAGGCTGCCTCTCCCAGAGCTCTGCCTTGTCCCATCAAAGGCCTGCCTAGCATCCCCCAGCTCATCCTATTGGCATTTACCTATGCCCCTCCTCTACCGAAAGACTTTCCATGTGTTCTGTCTCAAATACAGAACACCTATAGAGCATGTAGTCAGAGCAAAAAGTCATGGTACTCTGCCTTCCTGCAGATTCTAGCTTAGCAGGGAAAACCCAGATGAAAATGAATTCTGCAGAACATGGACTTCAAGAAGCAAAGGCAGAGCTACAAAAAAGCAAGAAGTATTTAGCAAGACCTGGGAAACTTCTCCCAAGATTTGAGCAGCAGGGGAAGGGTTAAAGGACTCAGGGAGGAAGAGGAGATGAGAAGTAGAGAGTGAGGAGGAAGCAGAGCCCTGAAGGGAGTGAAGGGCAGAGAGCAGAGCATGGGGCTGGTGGGCAGAGCACAGTCATCGAGAGCGTCTCTGTGATGGGGGAGGGGCGGGTGGCACCAGGACCCACCCTGATGGAGCACAGGTCATTCAAGACTTTGTAACAAAGATGAAAGAACTTGAACTTTACCCTCAGACCAAAGGGGAGACAGTACCAGTTGCTAAAGGCCATAGTTAGTTTCATGTTTTGTGCAAAGAAGGCCTTGCCAGGAGCAAGGGCAGGTGGAGAGAGCAAGAGCTCAAGAAGGAAAACTGAAACCCAGGTAACAGAGAGGACAGGCTTTGGCTCCTTTGAGGAAAAGCCAGAGAGAAGCTGGTGTAGGTGTGGAATGGCAGGCAGTAACAAGTGTCCGTGAACCCCCACTGAGGAGCATCATGTTGAGCAGGGTGTGGGGGGAAAGCAACTAGGTAGTCAGGAATGTCAGGTTTCCACTACAGTGGGTGGAGCCTGAAGCACAGGTGAGAATGAAAAAAAAAAGTTACCAGGCTGACCCTCTGCGGAGGGGTCCACTTCGTGGCAGTGGTGGGCAGGCTGCCAGGTACACATGATTTCTGCAGAGCTGCCAACAGGCTGTTGAGCTATCTACGTGTGAAGGCTCTAGAGAGCATGGGTGGGCTGGGCTGCAGGTTCAGAACCAATGCCATTGGATGCTCAGCACAAGGGACCAAGGAAAGGGGAACTATGGGATGGGGCTGAGGTGGAAGGTCCTGACCGGGGAGCACCGGAGGGAGCACTGGAGGACAAGTCACCGGAATCTCCTCTCCTTGCTTTAGGCACTTATCTGTACAAGAAGGAGATGTATGGTCCTCGGACCAGTATCCCTTGTGCCAGGCACATGGCACACATGCCACAGGGTAATACCAAAGAAAGCCAACTCTAAGTGACAGAGCCAGACTGACAGGGTTCTTGTCCTCCCAGAGTGTCATTTGCTTCCAGAGTGACTGGAGAACAGAGCACCCAACCTTCCTTCCCACTGCACCATATCCTGTATCCAGCTTGGCCTTGAACTGTTCCATCCAGTCTGGCTTTTCTTGCCTCCCCAAGGTCAGTTTCTCCTCTGCCCCTGCTCTCTTCTTCTGGTCTTCCAGTGAGTTTCCTATGCCCAGAGGTAATCACTTCCCTTGACAATCCACACTTCCACATGGTCATTAGCTTGAGCTATGTTCATATGCTGGCCATGTGTTCCTTCAGACTCTCAACTAGTGAGTGCACATGCTCCCACCTTTCATCAGAAGGGGCAGAAATGAGAGACATGGTACCACCCCACATAGACAAGATCAGGAAGCACACAGGAGCGTCACTGGAGGAGCTAGAGTCTAGAAGCAGAAAGGGGGCCCCAAACCTGCAGTAGGGCCAAGCTTCAGAAGGCAAGGTGGGACATTCACATATCCCAAAAAAGTAGGGCACAGGGCTTAAGGAAGGCAAGTGGAGAAACAGGGAGAGACCCCCACAGGGCCCAGTCACTGGGGAAATGTGAACTGAGTAGCACCTGGCTGCTAATCATTCCACACAGGAACCAGTCAGACTGACTATGTGTAACTTGGGGCACATATGGTTTTGAGGATGCTGAACTTTAAGCCCACATAGATTCTGGAAGCTGGCTGAGCACTTCCCAAATCAGCAGAGCAAAAGAAAAGAAAGATGTAACAAAAGATAGCAGAAGGAAAGAGGACAAAGGAAACAAAGCATCATTTTTTAAAGCTCAAACATGACAATCAGGGGAAAAATGTAAATGGGTTTATACACCCTCAAAGAGAAAGAATTTTCAATTTGGGTCAAAAGCCTCAAATCCAAACTATATGTTGTCAATTTAAGACAGATTATAAATAAACTTGAAAAATTGCAAAGCCAAGAGATGGCCCAGAAAAATAGGCAGGCCTCAATTTTCCTGCATTCAACTCTGAGGCAGCCCACACAGCGTGCATCTCAAACATCAGGCAATTTAGTCAGCAGCTGACAGCCAGAAGTTAGTCTCTTCCAGCAGCATCCTGGCTTTCCATACACAGCAATGGGTTCAATTTGCTTGTGCAGCTGATGAAATAGTTAATTGCAGAGGTTTTCCAAGAGTGTTGACAGGGTTGAACCCCCACCCCGGTATACTGTGAGAGAAATGTGCCCAGCACCCCAGCCCTCAAGGACATGCCCACCTCCAACCAAAACAGGGTAGCTTTAACTTGGTCTCTGTGAGTTATTGGGCTGCTGGGTCCAAATAAAGGTTTTAGCAACCCTTGGAAAAAGTTACTTAATCACATTTTGCTTTTGTTACTTTTTGTTATAAATAAATGAAAATGGAAAAATAAAATGGCTGATAACTGGTGAGAACCCTAATGTTGTAAAGTAGATGACTGTGGAGGTCACTGGGCAGGTTCGAAACAGCCCATTTCTGACTTTAATTTGAAACAATCAATTGTGTGCTTAAGAGCAGAGTGGAGAAGCATCATGGGACATAAGAGACCTCTTCGGAGGGCCCCCGAAGAGCAAGTCTCCCATTTCAAATAACATATAGCCTTCCATAGATGCTTCCAGAAGCAACGGTATGAAAAGAGTCGATTAACTTTTGGAAACGAAACAACAAAAGAAAACTGTAATTCTACAATTCCATGTCAGGTTGATGAAACATGGCAAGGAGAACACCTGTTTAAGATGGAGGGGCAATCCATGACGGGGCGTGGCACCTACGAACATCACGCCAGGAAATGTTAAGACATCAAAATACGGAAAACAAAATCATAGAAACAGTTTTCCAAGCCTCTCAGTTGGAAGGACATCATCAAGGCAAACACAATGAGACCAAATGATAGACAAACCTCAAACCCAGAACCAACATCATATTTAACAGAAACTGAGAAATAAAAAGATGTTCATTTCACCAATATTGGGTTTTCCTGCCCCAAGTACTAAGCAATATTGTAGAAAAATATTGCAAACTCCCAGAATAAGATTAAAACTCTGGTTATTTATAAAACTCAAATCTTTTCTAAGGAAATCCAAAAAAATGAAAACTAATAGGATTAAATTTCTTTACATCAAAACCTATGTCCTATAAGCCAGTATTACATCTTACTTTAAATGCCCATGGAACATTTACAAAGTTGATTATATCATGCTTAAAAAGGCATCGAAAATTTCCCCAGAGTAGAATTCATGTGCACATTCTCTAGCCACAATAAAATATAATCACATTTGAACAGAATGCATCACAGACAACACACAACCCAAATAACGCAGATGTGAGTTTTAAAGGGAAATCTAGTTTTCACATTTCATTTAGATAACCATCTGAGGACAAAAAAATCATCATTACAAATGTTGAAAGTTACTGAGAAGACTACATATTAAAGCATAGGACATGAAGTCAAAGTTGTAACGAGAGGCAATTTCATGAAATAGTTCGATCACCAAGGAAGAGCAACAGTTGGGGTACATAGACAGACTGAACAAGTTTGAGGGAAGCAGAAGGCAGGAACTGGTAAAGATAAAGGCAGGTATCAGTGAACATGCTCACACAAAACATTGAATTGAGAAAATTATTCCAAGAACGGACTTTTTGAAGAAAAAAAGTACAGACATTTGTTTAGATCATGTATTAAAGAGATAAAGTATGCATATAGGAAATAAAGAGAAGGTGATACAATCGTAGAAATGTAAGAATTCACTACAGCATAACATTATTTGTAACTCTCTTCCAGTAAAGAAATTTTAAATCTCAGAATGAATTATCCCCAGGGAAAAGTAATACCTAGACGGAATTGAGTGTTCACCGTGAGAGACACATGACCACATACTTTATCTCTTTATCTTCTCAGT